TTCGTCTCTCTTCTCCCCTCCCCTCTCGTTTTATTTTCTTCCTTTTTTTTTTTCATGTGGCAACCACGGTCGGCCCGTAGGGCAGTGCTGTACCCCTGTTCACCGTTCACGGGGTCTGTGAACGGAAACCGGTCATGGAGTTCACGACATGGGAGTTCATGGAGTTCACGGAGGGCGGGATCGTTTTTTTTTTTTTTTTTTTTTTTTTGGCAGGGGGGGGTGGCTGTTTTGTTTTTTATAGGAGGGTGGGGGTCATCGAAGGGTAACCCCCATAATTTTTTCAAATTTTGTTTTTCACAAATAATATTTTTGTAAATTAAAAATGGAAAAAAAAAAATCAACCAGCCAAAATAAGCATTTTCATTTGTTATTTTATAGGTTATTTCAATTTGTTTTTATTTTTTCAATGTCATCACGCTGTGGGCCTTGAGGCGACCTTTGCTGGGTGAGACCTTAAAAAAAAAAAATAACACCACTTTTTCATGGTCTGCCCGTTCACCGTGAACGGCCGTTCACAAAAAAAACACCAAATGAACGGCCGGTCACGTTCAGGGTGACGGCACTGGCGTAGGGCACCGTCGTTCGCCCCCGGTGACAGCTCAAGCCCCAGCCTGGGCACCTCGGCCTGAAGCAAGAGTCCCTCGTTTCCTCCGGGTGGCTCAACCCCCATGGCCAAAAATCCTCGGCCACACCCCTAACTACTCTGATTGGCGTCCAAAGCCCGGAACGCCGCGCGCGGCATGAGCTTGAGCATCACACTCCCTCATAAAATTACATAGGCCATGTAGGCCTCTTTGGCAACACATGCCAAGTCCCTCTTGAGATTCGGTAGGTACCTGACAATCTTCCCGGAAAAAGTTACCAATTCTGGGAGCATTACTCAGTGTGGCTTTTTACGAGACCCAAAGGGACCCGAGTGGACAGGCCATACACCTTAATACTACAATATCAATCCTATCTCTTCCCACTACCAACCGTACTTGGTCTAGACTACTCTCTCTTCTATACGCCTCTCCCGATCCTCCTATTCTGGGCACTACTGTTGTAGTTTGTTGAACCGTGTGAAAGGAATCTAGTGCCGTCCTTGCTGTTGTGTACTCTTTTTTTTTTAGGTCAACTGATCAACGACGAAAATGATTTCAAAACAAATTGGTTCTGAAGAGGCCCTCTCTAGCCTTGCCCCCAGAAGTATCTGCTCTGCTGGGAGGTCAAAAGAACTAACACCTGTGTTTAGTGCGAACCTGCTATTTCAAACAGCCGCCTTAAACGAAAACCTGCTCGAACCCGTGAACGAAAGTCTGCAAGGAACCACGGTGAAAACAGGATTCCCGAGGTTATGAACGAGTCCATGGAAGTTTAGGTCTTGGAAGCACGTGTGTTCACTTGATTACAAGATCCAGGACACATCAGGAGCCATCTGAAAAACAGAGCCGGAGAGAACGAGGATAGGCAAAAAGGAAATCAGCACAAAGCCGAAATCTATCTGCTGTCTAAGCCTAAGCCTTCGCCACCGCCTTCTCCTTCAGCTTCGTAACCTTCAGTACCTTCTTTACTGTCTTCTGCTCCTCGACGAGGAACACTCTCACGATCCTTTCTCTGACTTAATTAGCGCACATGCTTCCACCGTATGCTTGGTTTACTCTCTTCTGTCTGAGGGACATCATCTAGATTCACTCTCTTCTGTCTGAGGGACATCCTCTTGTAGTCCGTAGGATGCCTATGGGGTATCCCAGGTAGTCTCTTGGGATGCTTGGCGCATTTGCGTCCCTGCCCTCTCTTCCCTGGGTACTGGGATGTGAGACACCCACCTGGCGTCTTGACAACTCGCGTCTGATATGACTTCGTGGCGTACAAGTGCCGCCTGTGGTACGTTAAACGCTGCACTATGGTTGCTATTTGGTGCTACACTGCTCGATGATCTGCTGAACGCGATGTGGAAAGGAAGGCTGTTGTGTACTCGATGCTCCTCTTGTTTTTTTTTTTTTGTCTTTTTTTCTGTTTTCTATAAAGAGTTTTCTTTACAGTTATCTGCTGGGTGCTACTGTAACAGTTGTATTTAGCTGAGCTGTCCGCTGCTAAACTACTCTTGTCCTTTCTGATTCCTACTTAGGGCCTCGCCACACCACTGTCGAAATGAAAAACTTCCAGTGCATTTTAACGCAGAGCGTGGCAAGATGCATCCCTTACTATGAATAGCAATGGATGCATCTTACTCCTTTCTGCGGCAGATGGATTCCTTTTGTTTTCTTTTAGACAGCGGTGTGGTGACGCCCTTAGTCTAGTGCTATGCCTTGTTGTCAACTGTGCCTTGTTGTCAACTACCGTCCTCACCCGAATAGAATGTCTGGTCATTATCGCTGCATCTGGACTGAAAGGTGGGCTAAATGCAGCTATAATGACCGGGCGTTCTATTCGGGTGAAGACGGTAGGCGCTTTTGGTTTGTTTGTTCGTTTGTTTGTTTGCTTTTTGACAAAAGGCTCCGATCTATTCCTGCGGATCAGCAGGTGCTGTGTTGCGTACTGTAACGTGCAGACCAGAACAAGAACCGACCTCTCAATACAAAGTACAAGATGGCGCAAACGGAAGACTTAGATACCAATGATCCGAACAATCAATATTGCAATGCAGCCCTGAACACACATCATCATCATCATCGTTATCTGGTGTGAAGGGGGTCTGGCGCTTCACACAAGAAGACAGCGCCAGCCCCAACCATACACAGACGAAGAAGGAGGGGTTAGACGAAAGAGGAGGGGAAGATGGGAATGTCGTCAACACCAAGTCTCGGTACAGGCCCAAATAGTCCCTCGTCGGAATGTCTGAATCCCAATGTCCAGTCTGGATCCAATTTCGTCAAGTCTCAAGTCACAACTCTTTCTCTCTCTGTCGTAGTCTGAGAAGTCAGGTGGCGAGAGGGTGAGAAGAGATGGTGGACTTAGAAGAGGAAGAAGAAGAACTCTCTCTCTCTCTCTCTGTGTCCAGTACTAACCTGTGAAGTTGGCGCCTTGATGCAGGTACCACGAAGATTGAGCTGGTGCGATGGCGCCACGGGTAAGTACCCCTGGCCTCCGCCAATATCTCTCCCAACTCTACGATCTACCACCTAGCAGCGCCCAGCGCTGAAGACTACTCTATGGCTATGGGCGCCCAGCGCCGAAGACTACAGCTAGNCTACCACCTAGCAGCGCCCAGCGCTGAAGACTACTCTATGGCTATGGGCGCCCAGCGCCGAAGACTACAGCTAGCGCTAATACTACTGCCTAGCGCTGAAGACTACTGCAGCGCTCCTCCTGAGTGCTGTGGCCGAATCCTGAAGACTACCCGTGCCTACTGACAACCACCTACCCGTGAAGTGCATGGGAACTTCCTATGTACTACCAGGTGTGCCTCCTGACTCGTGCGAGCAGCCCAGGAGGCTGCTCTTGCCAATGCCGAAGGGAGGCAGGGGCTGCAGCTGCAGCTCCTGCTCAAGCTCGTGAGGAACAGGCTATTTCTGGTCTGTTCCGAAACCCTGTATTCGTGCCTGAGTCTTAGGGGTGGTCGAAACAATGAGGGCCGGAAAAAGGCCCTCCGTTTCAGGCTGGAAAACCTCTGGGTCTGAAAGACCCAGAAATAGGCTGAAACGGAGTAGGACCTACAGGCCCTCGTTTTTCAGCTTTTAGGCTAAAACGACCGGGGCCTGTAAACCCTAAGTTTTAGGCTTTTAGGCTGAAAGTCCGGGACGGGCCCTGCATGGCCCGTGTGGCTACGCAGTATGCCACACCCCCCCCTCCTTGAAGAACCGAGCTTACCTGGGAGGGCGAAACTGTCTGTCTGAGGGAGGGACCACAATCCGGGTGGGAGGGGCTGGTCGTGAAGCTTCCTGAGCTAACCTCCGCTTTTCATAATGCGTGTAGATCAGCGGTGCGGATGCTTTCAAATCTGCGCCTGAAATCCACCGAGTGTCGTCGCGATCGCATGCTTTGAATGTGACTTTGTGCTGCCGCGGCTTGCTGCCGTACTTGCGGTCGGTGATGACGCGGTCAACTTCCTGATGACCATCCATAGAAGGAGGGTCATGCGATCATCGGCCTGGAAAGTCGTCGCTCTTGGCTGGCGTGTATGTTGCCAGCTTCGAGGCGTGGAAGACCGGATGGACCGTCAAATGCTCTGGAATGTTGATCACAAATGGAGGGTCATCGGGCTCATCTCCCGCGGCTGCTGTCACCGACCAAGGTCCAAACCACTTGGGAAGCAGTTTGTGTGAAACATCCTGTTCCAGTGCAAACTCTTCCGCGGAGACCCAAACCAGATCACCGGCGCGGATGGGACATGGTACGCGACGCCTGTTGGCTTGCTGCTGCATGCGGACTTGAGCCTTTTGCATGTTTGCGCGGGCTTGAGTCAGCAGTTCCCTGTACTTCCGGACGAAAGCGGGAGAGCAGGCAGCATCAATGTCGACTGGTCGAGGGAGGAGAAGGTCGGCGAAGATCCGGCCTTTCCGTCCACCGTGGTGCAACTCGAATGGAGTCACGCCGATCGCCGGATGCACCGAAGTGTTGTAGGCGAACTCGATGTCGGGGAGACGGTCAACCCAATCTTTCTGGTCCGGACGGATGAGCGTACGAAGCATCATTTAAGCGGTTTGATGTGCCCGCTCCGTCTGCCCGTCTGTATGTGAATGTCGAGCCGAACTTGGTTTCATCGTCGTGTCGGACTCCTGCATGAGCGCAGTCCAAAATGTTGACATGAAACGAGTGTCGCGGTCGCTGACTATGTCTTCTAGTACACCGTGGCCACAAATCCAACCGGTGTGCAAGAGGCGTACCAGCTCGGGAGCCGTGGAGTAGTAATTGCAAGGGAGAAAGCGCGCGTACTTACTCAATCGGTCCACAACCGTGAGGATGCCGTCGTGCCCGAGCCGGTCGCAGGGAAACGGACCGGTGACGTCCATGGCAATGGAGAGACCACCTTCTCGTGGGATAGGCATCGAACGTAACTCGCCGTAAGGATTGCGGTTGCGGGGCTTGCTGCGTCGGCAAACTTCGCAAGAGTCGCAATACCGAGTGGCGTCGGTAATGAAATCGGGTCATCAGAATCGCTGTCGAAGCCGTGCAGTAGTGTGGTTGACTCCGAAATGGCCGGCGAGTCGCGAATCATGATACTCGCCGAGGAGGCGAGTCCGAAGACGGCGGTCGTGTGGGACACATAGTAAGTCCTTGCCTCTTGAGTGGAGAAGCAAGTACCCGTCGGCAATGCGATAGTGGCTGGCCGGCGGGTGATCCGAAGATAGCTGTGCATATAGCGTGGCGAAGTCCGGATCAGACTCGTATGCCCGGATAAAGTGTCGCTGAAGCTCCTCGTCGAATGCGAAGGCATGATGTGTCATAGCGCAAAGATCAGATCTTCGCGAGAGTGCATCGGCTCCGCGATTTGAGAGGTCGGGAAGATGTTTCGGTGTGAAGTCAAACTGGTCGATGAAGTACATCCATCGTCCGATCGTGCTGCTCACCGTATCTTGCGTCTTGTAGTAGGTCAATGGATTGTTGTCTGTGACCCGTGTGAACCTATGACGCCCAAGGAGGAAGTGTCGCCATTGCTTGAGAGCCATGACGAACGCGGGTAGCTCCTTCTTCCTTGCATCATCAAGCGAGTTGATGGGAGGCACTTTGTGGCTGAAATACTCCACAGGGTGCCAGTCGTCGCCGTCGTGCTCTTCCAAGACTGCCCCAATGTCATAGCCGGAAGTGCTTGTAGTCACTCTCGTCGGCAAGGTGGGGTCATAGATGCTAAGGACGGGTGCCATGAGCATAGCCATCTTAAGTGTTTGGAATGACCGGGGTGCGTCGTCATCGAATACAAATGGCACCTTTGGCGACTGTAACCTCGTCATAGGTGCAACAATCCTGGAGTATCCGGTGATGAATCGCTGATAGTAGCCCGCCAATCCCATGAATGAACGAACGTCCGTGGTGTTGGTGGGCCCGGGCCATACTCGTAGGGCATCGATCTTGTCCGCGAGTGGACGGATGCCTAGCGGCATTACATAATGGCCCAAATACTCCAGCTCCTGCTGTGCGAATTCGCACTTGTCGCGGTTTGCTTTGTACTTGGCCTGTCGTAGCCGCTCCAAAACGGTGCGCAAGTGTTCCACATGCTCTTCCAAACTCCGACTGTACACCAAGATGTCGTCGAGGTAGATGAGTACAAAACGATCCAGCATGTGTCGAAACTCCGTTGTCATAGCCGCTTGCAAAGTGGCTGGGGCATTCGTAAGGCCAAACGGCATGACCAGCCATTCGAAATGCCCATACCGTGTCTTGAACGCGGTCTTGTAGCAATCCTCCTTGCGAATCTCGAGTTGGTGATATCCCGACTTGAGGTCTAGCTTGGAGAAAAACTTGGCCCCGCCCAATCGCTCGAGAAGATCGTCGATGCGTGGGAGAGGGCCGGCGTTTCTGATTGTCTACGCGTTGAGCTTGCGATAATCGATGCACAACCGCAAATCCTTGTTCTTCTTCCGGACGAAGAGAACAGGAGCACCGTATGGCGATGAGCTAGGCCGAATCCAGCCTTTCTCTAGAAGGTCGTCGAGTTGTGCCCGAAGCACACTTAACTCTTCCTCGCTCATTCGGTAGATGCAACCGCGTGGAGGTACGGCCCCGTCCTCGAGGATGATCTCGTGGCGGATGGGTCGATCCGGTACTACTCCATGCGGGCCTTCGAACACGTCGTTGTAGGCGTCGAGAAGCTCGGTGATGCGTGGATCCGAAGATGAGTCCATCGATGAAGCGTCATGGGGCGAGAGGGCGTGGAGAAAACACACCCCCGTCTCCTCGATGTCATCTCTGATGATGGAAACTCGCATGCTTGCCGCGGATACCACGTGGCAGCTAATCGAAGGATGAGGAAGAGGCACCGTGCATGAAACTAATACTCCGTTCCGATCACGAACGTGAACGGTGCGGTTGAAGAAGTTCACTGGGTGATCCTTGCTTCGCAGCCATGACATGCCCAAGATCATGTCGAATTTGGTGTCCAGAATTTCAAAGGACACTGCCTCACTTGCGCGAGGGGCAAAGTACACTGGGACGCTGTCAATGCACCAGTCGATTGACTTGTGCGTGTGACCGTCCGCCAATGTGACTTGCGTAGGCTGGGACTTCCTCCGGACGCGTGGGCCAAGGTCGGCGCGCACCATGAAGTCCTGGCTGATGTAGTTGCGAGTTGCTCCGCAATCGATCAAGGTGTTGCAGGTCGCCTCTCCGATCTGAATGCGTATATATAGCAATGGTGCGTCGATGTCGTCGTACCGTTGCGTCTTGAACTCGCGGTCGATCTTCGAAATGTAAGCGTGAAGGTCGACAACCTCTACTCCGGCGTCCATCAACGGAGCTGGTACTGCAGTGTGCAAGTAATCTCGCAGTTATGCTATGAGCACATTGCAATGCGGTTTCGACAATCGTCCGGTCGGGGGAACGGGCGTCCACTGGAAGTCCGTGAACGTCAGTGGGTCGAGCACCTCAAGTCTTGACCACGACGATGAATCCCCGACGATAGATAGCGGCGAAGCTGCCAAATCGGTTGCCGATGGTGATGAAACCGTGCATGCGGTAGATTGTTGCACGTGGAGCGGTTGGTCCAGCGGTGGAACCAAGTGGACAGCATAGTCCTCGTAAGTGTAACGAGAACCTGCGACATTCGCATCCTCCCCAGATGTGCAGGAGGCCGCTAGCAAGGCGGCCGAATCTGGCGGAGTGGAAGGTGGAGTCGCCTCACCTTCCGCGGAACTCAGTTTCCTGAGTTGAGGGGGGGTCGCACATCCTCCTTGCCCTGATCCTGGCATAGGGAGGTCTTGTGCTTGGTGTTGTTGCACCAATAGCAGCTGCCGTAGCGGCCGCGGATCTTGTACTCCGCCTCGGTCAAGCCGAACTTGACCCATGGAACTTGTACTGGTTGTCCATTTCCGGCCTGTGATGCAGATTTCGCCTTCCCATTATTGCGAGACTTGTTGTTGCTTCGCGGCTGGACAGCAGCCACCTGATCTCCGTCACTTGATGCTGGAGTGGCTGCTGGGTTATCTCCACTGTCCGACTGGACTGCAGCGAAGTGCTGCTGTCGCGGACCAGTTCGTACCTTCTCCACATAGGTCGGCTGCCATGTTGACTTCTCGTGTGCAGCTGACCTGTTGGTCTTGATGATTTCCCTTGCCTTGTCAATGATCTCAGCGAAGGTTGAGTACTGCTCGTGATCACCAAGAGCCTGGCTCAATGCATCACAGGACTTGTTGTAGAACTCACGGCGTAAATGCGTGAATGGCAAGTCTAGATTGGGCACTGCCGCAATCTTCTGCCACTCCGTGAGCCAATCCCGTGTTCCGGTGTTGCCCAGTGACATGGTGAACAGACGGTTGATGGCGAGTGTTGGCGCGTCGTCAATGATGAACCGCTTCTTCCACAGCTGTGTCAGTTCCTCCCATGTGATCTTGTCCTTCAAGTCCGGTACGTCGACGCCGTGGGAGGTTGCCTGGTGGGTCAACCAGGTCTGACATCCGCCCTTTGAGTTCATGAATAGGGCGCTGATGTACGCATGCTTGGCGACGGGCAAAATCCTGAGTTCGTTGTGAATGCTTCCCACCAGAGGACCGGATCCTGCTGCGTGTAGTCGTCGAACTTGTCTAGTTGGAAAGTTGGCATCTTGTACAACTTCGGATTGCCATCCGCGTTCGTCGACTGCCGCTGTTGGACCTCGGTCTTCAAGGTATGCAACTGACTGCTGATGGTGGTCGGCGCAGCGAAGGTGCTGATGTCGCCGAGCATTGCCACTACGTGGTCAACCCATTCCTCCAGTTGGTGGCTAGAGGTTGCACTGCTGGAAGCCCCAGCAGCTGGTCCTGAAACAGCCTGTTCTAGGTCCAGCAATCGGGCATTGAGTGCCCGAGTTGCATCCTCGTGGCTCTGCACTGTGCGGCGGAGCGTCACCAACTCCTGATGCTGTTGCGTCAGGTCCTGGTACTGTTTCTCCAACTCGGACCGTTGGTAGTTGCAAGCACACAACAACCGTGTCACGAGTTTGGAGAGGAACTCCTTATGCTGCTCTTCCGGTGTTGCCTCGTCGCCGTTCGGTTCAAAATGCCAGAACTTGAGTCTCTCTATGCTGGTTGCTTCATGCGGCTGCAGCAGATCCTGGGCTTCCTTGCGGCGAGCCTGGGTAGCTGCGTCAGCCTCGGCCTGTAGCCGCAGCTTCTCTGCTGCTGCCGCTCTTTCAGCCTGTACGTGGGCAGCCTCGGCCAGCAGGCGCTTTTCCTCAGCCTCAATCAGATGGATTTGAGGCTGGATCTGCTGTTTGTACTCAGCCAGAGTCTCGTTGGCCTGGCATGCCCAGGGCTGTCCCTGTCATGCTGACGTGGCACTGTGTCTGACGTGGCACTGCTGACGTGGCACTGCTGACATGGCACTGTGTCTGACGTGACACTGCTGACGTGACACTGCTGACGTGACACTGCTGACGTGGCACTGCTGATGTGACACTGTGTCTGTCGTGGCACTGTTGATGTGGCACTGTGTCTGACGTGGCACTGCTGACGTGTCACTGTACCCACACGGAAAATGCATGCAAAGGGTGGGTGGGAGGGAAAACGTAGGTAGGAAAACAACCCAACAATACTTGCCCCCGACCCTAATCAACAGATAAAATAAAAAAAATAAAAATAAAAGAGGACTACTTCCTTTTTCTTTTTTCTTTTTTTTTTGTATATCTGTCGATCTATTATGAGTAGGACATGTCAGAAGAGTACTATGAACGAGATCTAGGCTAGGTTCCCAAAAGTTTTGGCTTTTACAAACTGCAATCTTGAAATTTTTTTTGCGAAATGGAGTAAAGATGCGATTTTCAGAAAAGAACGAAATCTAGTTTCTGAGAATATAGCAACCTCCGAATATGCCTAACGCAATATTGGTAGGCTTCTCAAGATTCGATTTTCAAAAAAAAATTTGCGAGATAGAATGGAAATGCGATTTTCAAAAAAGAATAATTCCAGTTTCCGAGAATATGACCATTTCTATCTTTATCCCAAATGCCTAGAGAACAAAATACAAACTCCAGAAATTTCAGCTATGTATGCGAAATATCTGAGAAAAGAAAAGCTACTATCGGGAATTTTCAGACAAAACGAAATGCGATTTATCAGAAATTTTCAGATATTTGTTACGTAAAAACGAACTAC